GGTTAGTTATATGCGATGCATGTAATGCAGGGTGAGATGATGTTCTCAAAATAAATGATATTATGTTGTATATGATATGTATGCGTATGTCATGATGTATGTTCATGAAAATCTATCGGGGTATGCTCGCGTCTGGGAAAATAAATCCCTGACAGTTGCTGGAGATTTGCAAATATTCTGTCGGGAGGAGATGCTGCTTGAGAATAAACTCTGCGGGGAATAAACTTAGAAAATGTATTTTTGTAACTGAAGTGATGAACTTTGTCTGGGATTGAGCCTCTGTATCTGGAGAAATGAACTCTGCTTGGGGGATGAAATTTACTGACTCGCCCGCGATTATGAACCTCAGCTGGGGTGGTTATGTCCTGTTTCGGGAAAGCTGACATCAATGCCTTTGGATACTTCTACTCTATGGGGAGTGTATGTACCAATAATTATGTTCCCAAGCTGGCTCTATCCCGGTACCTGTTGGGCAAAGTAATTGTAGGGTTTGTCACTTCTTGTTTTTGCCCCTGTTTCTGGAATTACGAGTAATTGTCTTTTGTTTCTTATGTAAATATTTATGAGCAGATATAATTTTCAAATTCATATTTTTGTACCCCAAAATTTTCCCTCCCATATTTCTCAAAACATTTCATGAAAGATCCCCAAGTTGCTCAAGGTAGCCCAAGAGTTGGTCAGACAAGCCCTCTCCTAAGGCAATATATCTCAAATTAGGGTTTCATGTTGCATCAAGATCCTTGAGTCCAAGTGGTACCAAATTCTCACCAATGTCCTAATATGTTCTCAAGATCATCCATGTCAAGTTTCAAGCCTTGCAGAGGAATTTTGCTCAATCAATTGCTCAAAGGTCCAAAAATCGACTGTGTTAGGGCAAAAGTCAACTGTGACCTACATACAGTCAAACTTCAAGATTTTTGGTCAAGATCCTAATTTTTAAGTATATTTTATCATTTGATCAATGTTTGATCATGATTCATCAAGGATTGCTCATAATTCATCAAGACTCAAAAGTTCCTAAATTAGGGTTTTGGAGGAAAAGTCAACCCAACTTTGACCAAGCATAACTTACTCATACTTTATTCGAAATGACCCATCCAAATCTCATTTTGAAGAGGATGAAATTACCTACAATCCATATTCATCTCCCAAGATCAAAATATGCACTCACAAGAAGTTATAAATTTGGTAATTATAGGTCACTTTGAAAAGTCAACAAAAACACCTTTTTTGTCAAAGCTTCATACTTGAGCATGGAATATCAAATTTACATGAGACCAAAAGTGTTGATTATAGGACATCTCAAGCTTTCTAAAAAGTCTAAGAACACCTCCATAGAGTCAAAATTGAGGAATTTATGCATTGTTGAAGTTGACCTTTTTTACAAAATTGCCAAAAGTCAAATATCCCCAAAACTTCAAGTTTTGCCAAATCGGCCCAATCTTTTTCACTTGTTTTGAGTTGGCATCATATCCCACGTGATCTAGCCTTTGCCACTTGTCCATATCATATTTTTATTAATTATTTTGATTTTTATTTGAATTAATTTGATTTAAATCAAAATAAATCAAATAAAAATCCAAAGCATTTATAACAAGGGATTTTGTGCTTGTTTCTGGTTCCAGTTACAGCTAGCATCATTCAAATTCGTGCCAAGCCTTAGAGTTCACAAAAATATTCAAAATAAGCCATGTTTGGAAATATCTTCAAAGTAAATCAAATCAATATCCAAAGCATTGAAAGAAGAAGATTTGGATGCAATTTGCAACCCTAATCCCTTCACTAATACATAAGGATTGCGTACAGACCTAGACGGAGGTTAGAAATCAAGCTCAAAGCAAGAAAAGAATTGGAAAAAAGAAGCAAAAAAGTGTGAGATCGAATTGGTGGTTAGAGGCGTCCTCAAGGCTTGGTATCTGTCCCAATCGCTTCCTGGCAGTCTCCACAAGAGAAAGCAATCAAAAGCAAGTGTTTTCAAGCCCTCCCACGCACTGTAAGTCCATAACGGTATCACCCTTTTCTTTAATTCGAAAAGCTTTATTCTTGCATCCATAGTGTAAAATAATGGCATAATATTAATCACCATGATGTTTGCAAGCTTTTGGCATTATTCAATTTCATTTATATGACCTGTGTTGTAAATCACCATTGTTAGGGTTTCAGATTTGGTTTTAGGATTTTGATTTTCAGGAACAATTAGCCTTCATAATGGGCATGGTTGTGATCAGGAGGACGAGAAGAATCTAACCATGGTGTTAGATTCCATTTACATGGCCTGTGGAAGGTTTTGAGAATGCTTGGTTTGTAGCAACGAACATTTGTCTGTGGGTATAGGTGTTTCAGGTTTTAGCCACGGTGCAGGGAAGAAGAAGCATACGTGGATCCACCTGATTCGCCCGTTCAAACATTGGCGCGCGTTTTTATGAATTGTCCACAAGCATTTGTTTTTTTATATTATTATTATTTTTTAATATGTTAACAATAAGAACCAAATGCCCCAGTGGTGGCCATGTAGGTTTTCAAGGCATTAGAGGCTGGAGGTCAGGGGTTCGATCCCTGCCTCCAGCATTTGCCATTTTCTCATTTATTTTTAGGCAGTTCTATGTGCGTATCATCCAGGAGACCCACCATGGACCTTCATCATCCATGCGCCAGATGGCCAGATGGCCAAATCTAGTGGCCACCATTGCAAGCACACCATAAGCCAGGTCAAACGTGCCATACAGGATCCAGAAAGTCAGCATGGACCTCCATTTGGGCTCAGGAAAATTGCTATGCACACCCCAATATTCAGGCCCATTCCTCTATCTTTTTATATTTTGTTTATTTCATTTATTTACTTATTTATTTATTTACTAACCCAAAATAATTTCTTTTTTTTATCAAAAAACTCACAAAAATATTTTTATGTCCAAATAAGTTTAGAATTTTATTTTTTCATCAATAAATATTAATTAATTTAATCAAGTTAACTTTAGATAACTTTCATTTAATTTGCAAATATTTAAAATTCATTAGAATCAATAGGTTTTAACACTAATTTAATTATTTTATTTCTTTCCTATAATAACAAAAAAACCAAAATATGTCATTTAATTGTTTTTCATTAATTAATTTAATAACTAATTAATTTAGCATTTAATTTTAGGATTTAATTTCTTTTCTTAAAAAATACTAAAAACAACAAAAACATTTTCTTTTAATTAGGAGGGTCAAAACCCTAGTTTCGCATTCGATTCAATTTTCCCACGCATTTTATTTTTATTCAATTATTGTATCTGCTCCCGGTTTGTAATAATTAAATTAGGACATTTATTTACTTTTACCGCTTTTATTTTCAAAGGGTTGTTTTTTGGCGATGTAAATACCTGACGCCTTGTAATAGTTTAGTTTAAATTCTGCACCTTTAATTTCTGCAAATATTCAACTGTTAGATGTTTGATAATAGGGTTTGCATGACAAGAATGAATGTTTAACCTTAAAACAGTTAGATCACCTTAAACATGTGCAAAGATAAAAATAACTGAAATCAATACACTCGCACATGCGCACTCCTAGGGTACACTCCCACTTGGTTGCCTTCATAAACGGTCATTGAGTATAGGTTATTTTAGAGGTCGCCCTCTTGTCTAAAAGATCATAAGTTTCCTTGAAAAGGTTGCCTCGGATGTTGTTGCCTTGGATAAATGATCTAAGACATTAGGGTTACCACTAAGACGTCCTAATATTGCTTTAGTGACCGTACGTCCCTCTTTCGAATTGACCCTCAAACTCCAACGACGATGCTACCTACTCATTAATAGTGGGATAGCATTGTCTAAAGGAAACGAACATAGAACGATTCCTTTTTTGAGTAGGTAGATGTAGCGGTGAAAATCGGAGATCAAGATATTAATTAACTTGATTCGCAAAAGCAAGAGTCGCCACCGTGCTTTATTATTTCCAAGGGAAAATGGAAAAGAGCGAAATAAAACCCTAAAATATGCAATGTAAAATAATACTTAAAAGTAATGAAAATACGATGCATTTTTAAAAGAGATCGAGAGTTCGGGGGTTGGTTATACAATGGGAAGGTACTAGCACCAAATGCATCTGCGGTACTCCGCATGAACCTTTTGAAATATCTGTTTTTGGTTAAAATTGTTTGTTTGATTAAAATGGTTTGTTTGGCTAAAAATCGGTGTTGGAGAGATTTTGAAGATACGACGACCTAGTGTCGAAGTTTTGACTTAAAAGGTGTGAGTTTGAAAATGGAGTCTTTTGGGAAAATTATCTTGAGTTTAGCAAAATAGTAAACAAACGAAAAAATGAAAAAATGATATTCGCACGATCGGATGAGATATATTTGATAACGTGAAGTCAACAAATTTAAATCTTTCCCTTGGAGTTAAAACCACAGACAGATAAATAAGCTAAGAGTATATCAAACCTTAGGTGAAAATAAATCACAAGCCGACAGCATCATCGGAAAAACCTAATGTGAGATAATACTCCAAGCATCAGATAAAGCGCAAAGGCGGTGGATAAAGCTCACGGTGTCAGATAAGAATCCCTGCATCACAAGAGATATACCAACAAATCTAACGACACGGGAAACTTATGTGCGTCCGCACAATTTTCAGAAGTTAGTTGGAATTAAAAACAAAATCACAATGCAATGAAAATAATATTTTCAAAACTCGAATTTATTTACAAGTAAAATATATAGTCAAAATATTATATACAAGTATATATTTACAGTACCAAATATTAAATCAAAATAGTAAAATACAATAAAAAGGTAAAAGGGATAAGTATGGGAATTGTGGATGCCCTATGTGAGAATGAGTGATTAAAATAGATTTTCGGAAACCTTCACAATAACAAACGCGTTAGTAGCATAAGCGGTATACAAATTAAAATTGAAACAAAATTGCAACAATTAGTATTTACAAGATATAAAAAGAAAATGAAACTTGCATGAATGCACATGGACAAATCAAGAACCAAACAAATGATGATTATTCAATTCCAAACATGGTAAACGATGTTCTAAACAACCCTTTACTCCACCAAACCGAATCTGGGAAGAAGCTATACCAGGGAAGGAAAACATTTCTAACAACACCATAAACTACTTCCTTCTTGAAACGAAGCGGCTCAGCATGCACAACAGGAGAGTTTATAAGATACAAACGCAAGGCATCTGCTCCATAATCATTAATAACATTCATTGGTGTTCCATAATGATATGTTGCAGCTGACACATTTGCGTTAAGATCAAGTAGGAGTTGTACACAATCGAAATAGCCGTTCAATGCAGCCATGTGAAGTGCAGTAATACCAGCATCAGCCGTCTTGTTTACAAACTTGGACAATGTACTTTGCTCGTTTTTTCTTTTCGTATTTGATCCATCAATCACGTCAGCATCCATGCTAGCATGTAGAGTTTCATAAGGAGCACTTGGAACGAAGTCAGCCACAACAAGTCTAATGCATCTAACATGCCCACTGACAGCTGCAAAGTGAAGAGCTGTCCTCCCACTAAGATAATCTGCTTTCATAACATTGCATCGGTAGAGCATAAGGGTCTGCACAACTTCCCAATGACCATGTCTACAAGCTTGCATCAAAGCTGTCTGCCCACAATAATTTCTCGAATTCACATCAGCTCCCTTCTCAAGCAACAATGCCACAATCTCGTTATGACCCTTGGAAGCAGCAAAATGAAGAGGTGAATTAAGACCACCAAAGGTTGAATATTTAGCAAGACCAGGATTGAATTCCAAAAGCATCTTTGCTTCAACCAAATCACCATCCCTGGCCGCAGACACCAATCTCTCCCCAGAAGCTGAACAGCCAAAAGAATTTCCCATCTCTGATGAAAAAAACAATGGCGAATTCAGAAAATAAATAATGGGGTGCTGATGATTTGAAGAAAAATGAAAACTTTGGGTTGATTTTTGATGGTGATGTAGCAGCAGAAGAATGAAGGTGAAAAGGTTGGAACTTGAAATGGTGGTGGTGGATGTTGTGGGTAGGAAATCGGAGGGTGGTTATCGCTGTTTGACGGAGGAACAAAGGCGTATGGAGAAGGGTAATTAAAGGAGGAATTTGATGAACGGTGGTGATGCGGCATGGAGAGGAAAAGCGGTTGTGTGTTGTAGAGACGCCATTGTTGGCGTGGGTAGAGGAAGAAGGGTGAGATAAGAAAGTAGTGTGCTACTGCCTTGTTGTTGTTTTTTCTTGCTTTTGTTTTTTATTCGTGAAGGTCATTTTTGTGACAACCAATAGGTGAATGGTGAATGGTGAAGGTGATCCTCAATTTCATCCAACAACCAATAGGAATAGAGTATTGTGTGAATAATATATTTTGTGACTAAAAAGCCCTTTTAATGATAAAATGAAATAAAAAACAGAAAGTATTTAAATTAACTCAATTAAAAATAATTTTTTTGAATATTTTATGAATAAAAAATAAAGACCGAAAATGATTAAAAAAACGGACGAAAATTTATCCGAAAAAATAAAATGAACACATTAAAATAATCTACATGTCACAAAGATTAAAGAAAAAATATTCAAGAAGTCAAAAAATCAAAAATAAAATAATAATAAAAATATCAGACTAAACAGACGTTTAAGGTTAAAAACGAGACTTCGAACTGTACCGAAAAAATAAAGCGAGCATACCGTCATAATCTACGCGAAACGCAGATTCATAAAATGATCGGTAAAAAGGTGAAAACTTGAAATATTTTCTCGCTACTAATTTTCGCACATTGTTGAATCGTTTTTAACAGTTTGTCTATAAAACCAAAATATTTTTATTATCGACATATAAACAACTTGGAGCAATGCAAGAAACGAGTAAAGAGATCAAAATGAATGAAGTGAAATGTCAGGTATTTTTTAACTAAAAGACGATGCAAACTTTGATTTAAACTGACTTTTCTAGTCAACTTAAATACGACTAATGATGCAAAATATGATGAATGAAGATATTTACTAATGATTGTGACCAAATGACAAAATATGGTATGAATGTGCGACTGCAAAAATTAGGGGCGAAATTAAGGGTGCAACGGTGTGCCTTGATGAATCAGTCTTCGAGAATCCACAATCAACCGTACTTCTGGCTTGAGAGACTCAAAACCTTAATTGGGGCGCGACACCTGATGCTCTTGATTCAGACCTGTCTCTGCACATGAAACAAAAGAAAACATGAACATACACCTTTGTATGCGATTAGAAATTAGTGATACATATGCTAAAAATGTTCAAAACACTTGACAATCTTCGCATAGTCAATGCTTGAAAGTGAGAGGTTAAAACAGACTGTATTTCGTGACCTTGACTTATCTTAAAAAATGCAAAAATAAAAATGGGATCTTAGGTCAAAAATTGGGGTACAACAGTAGATTAGTTCTTAGATACTTGCTCATCCAAAACAAAATTTTCACACTTACACTCTTTTACAAACAAGTTTTCAAAAACACTTCATTACACTCTTGAAGACAGAAGCAAGAGTTAAATCGAAGTTAAAACAAAAACTTTTCAAAACCCACAAGCACAAATAAAACAATTTTGAAAATGATGAGCGAGTACCTAAGAGCCCGTAGATAACTACAGATAGAAAGGGTTCTAATACCTTCCCTTTCTATAATCTACCCCCGTACTCAGAAACATCTCAAAAAAGGAATTTTTCTGTGCTTTTTTCCTTTCCTTGTTGGATAAAATAAAAGTCGGTGGCGACTCTTGCTTACCGCGACATTTTGCGAATACAAACGCAAAACCCAAACCAGCATTCCAAAAACAGTCAGTTCTTCCCACCGTATCACAGAACTGGCGACTCTGCTGGGGATTTAATAAGTGGGGTGTACCTTAGTAATAGTTCATCATAATGTTTTCAATTGCTTGATTTGTATGCTTTATTTTTGTGGGTTTGAATTGGAGTTACTATAGATCCTAACCCGGATCTGGGGATACCTTTTAGGTAAGTAGCAATAGACTGTGAGGGAACTGTACGGCGTAGACCGATATGGTTGAAGCAGTAGCTACGTTGGTGTGGCACTTTAGTTTGTACCGATATCCATTGTGGTGGAACAAGGAGAATATGGGGCTGCTAAGGGGTCATTAAGCACCAACTGATCTTAGAACCTATAAATTGACCAACTTGGCCATAGAAAAGTAGCAGTATGCTACACTCATTGAGACCAAACTCTCGCGATGATTCCGGACGCAAGAAAAGGTTGCTAAACTGGAATTATGACCGATCGAGGGTGGTCAGTGATGTTGAGATCCTCTAGAACCCGGTTACTATTACTAGGACAAGTTGAACCAACTAAACTGAAAGAGGGTAATACCTAAACTCCATGCCAGCCTGAAATTTAAGGGCTACTGTGTGACTTGTGTGCCCTTACCATGTTTGCTATCTGTGAAAACTTGTGGTGTGTTTCTATCATAACACCATGCATCATGACATCGCATGCACATTTCATCATACTAACCAATTTCAAAGACCGAGGGGATTCATCTTTATTCTCTTTTGCAGATCATGGCATTTATACGCCGAAATACTATTTGCATCAGCTTCGTACAAATCCCTGCTCAACTTAGAGAGTTAGTTTCTAAAGTTTCGAATACTTCCTCCTTTATCAGAAGACATGGTCACCTCCTTGGTTTGGTCACTTCTAAGATGGATGTGAAAATGATGAGTGTCTTGTTCCAGTTCTTTGACCTGCTACATCACTGCTTCACCTTCCCGGACTATCAGTTGGTCCCTACTTTGGAAGAGTTCTCTGATTTACTTGGTATTTCTATTATAGAGAAGACGCCATTTACAGGTTGGGAGATAGCTCTTAGGCCAGAGGATGTTGCTACAACCCTACATCTAACAAAGGCTGAAGTAATGTCTAACTGGGAGACTCGGAGTGGGGTGAAAGACTTCTTAGCTAAGTTCTTGATTGATCAGGCTCAACAGTTTTGGGACAGTTTGGACTTTCAAGCATTCAAAGATATCCTTTCACTTCTCATCTATGGCTTGGTTTTGTTCCTTAATTCAGATTCTTTCGTCGACGTGAACACAGTGAAGATCTTCATGTCCCGTAATCCGGTGCCCACTCTCTTAGGTGACATTCTACATGCTCTTTATGCCCGTACTGCTCAGAAACGGGGAACCCTTATGTGTTATGCACCATTGTTGGCGAGGTGGTTTATTTCTCACCTCCCCAAATATGTTTTGAAGAACAAGGAAGGTATGGGTTGGGCCTACAGAATTATTTCCCTTGCTCATACTGACATCATTTGGAGTACTAAAGACATGGAAGAAGTGGTTGTCATTGACCGGTGCGGAGAATACCCCAATGTTCCACTGCTTGGAATTAGGGGAGGGATCACCTATAATCCTTGTCTGGCCTTACGACAGTTTGGGCGAGCTCGAAAGGACGGTCCTCATGAGTTTCTGATTCTGAGCATTGCCTTTGACTTCCAAGGGGATGTTGAGGGACATCGCCGCAGATTTATACGAGCTTGGAATAGGGTTAACAGGTCTGATCCGCATGAGCTAGGAGCGAAGACTTCTCTTTCAATGGAACCGTATCTCCGGTGGGTTCAGACCCGTGCCCAAAGGCTAGGGATGCCATACAAAGCTGTCTTACCGGTGATTGTGGAGCATGCTGATGAGGAAGGGGTTCCTCATATTTTCCTCCATCCATACATGCCTACTGACATTGGGGCATTAAAGAGGTCTTGGATCCAGTTAAGAGAGGAACGGGATACTTACAGAGAAAAGTATCGTGAGCAGGAACGGAAGATTCTAAAGCTCACAAGGAAGCTGGAGAATGAGAAGGTCCTCAATGATTATGTCAGCACCAATCGAAAGCGACCATGGGAGCGCTGATGTCTTTTGTTATTTCTAGTTTTTATTTACTTTTCAGTTTTTCTCTTTGTAACGCCTTAAAGGCATTTGTTAAACATTGATTTCAAGTTTTTAATCTAATAAAAGTGTGTTTTATTTTGGTTTACAAATTTGAATCTCCCTAAAGTCTTTGAAATCATATCATACGCATTCCATTCCCATGCACCTCATTACAGGTACCCTTACAGGTTTCTCATCTTCTTCGCTGTTTATTTCAGCAATCATGTCTTCTGAAATGTCCACTGATCAAGCTATTAAGGCTCTTCAAGCTCAAAATGCTCAGTTCCAGGAAATGTTCATGAACCTGGCCAAGGGACAGAAAGATCTGAAGACTCTTATCTTGAAGGATAAGAAGAAGAAGAAGAAGAAGAAGACGGTCCTCCTGAATATGGGTCACAGGTTTGGGAACAGGTTGCGAGAGGAAGTTTATTTGTCTCACTCATCTGGAGGGGGAGAGAATCAGGAAGAAAGGAGGGCTCATAGCCCTGTGGTTTCTGACAACGACACCGACTTTGATGAAGACCAGTATCCTCCTGCCGAGGATAGGTATAAGCAACTCGAAGACCGGTTAAGTGCGATGGAAATCCAGAAGATACCTGGGTTGGACTTTGGTGATTTGGGTATGGCATCTGGGGTGGTGATTCCCCACAAGTTCAAAGCTCCTGTCTTTGCTAAGTACAACGGAGTCTCCTGTCCGAAGCTACACCTCTGATCGTATGTCAGGAAGATTCAACCATATACCGCTGATAGAAACCTCTGGATTCACTTCTTTCAAGATATTCTATCAGGGACTCAACTTGAGTGGTTATATCAGCTAGAAGGAGCTAACATCCATAACTGGGAGGACCTTGCTGCTGATTTTTACAAGCAGTACCAATATAATGCCAACCTCGCTCCCACGCGTACCCAACTTCAGGGTATGTCTATGGGTGCGAGCGAAGGTTTTGAAGATTACGC